GACACCACCCATTCCCAGGATTCAATCTCTCCTCTTCCCACCTCTTGCAGAAACCCGCTGTTGGTTCTATTCAGACAGAGATGGAGGGCTCTGTCCTAGCAATCCCCCCTGTCCAGGCAGCAGCCTCCCTGCCCCCAGCCCCACCTCCTCTCTGACCCACTCCTCTCTCCCTAAGCCTCTGACTTCAAAAGGCCCCCTGACCTGGCAGCCGCAGGACAGAGGCGCTCTGGGCCCCTAGGACGTTCCGGGCCTCGCAGCTGAGTCTGAGGTCAGAGCTGAGCCCCGCGCGGAAGCTCAGGGAGCTGTTGGTCCAGGGCCCCTCTGAGCTGGAGGTGACCGCGTGGGAGGCGTTGCTGTGGTTCCCCTCCAGCAGCCCCGCCCCCAGCCGCCAGCGCAGGGAGGGGGCCGGCTGGGCCCTGGAGGAGCAGCTGCAGAACAGATCCTGGTCCCTCCAGGAGCACGAGGGTCCCAGCAGCTGCGGCGGGTCTGTGGGGAGCGAGGAGAAGGGTCAGCGGTGCCTCTGCCCTCCTAGTTGGTTGGCAGTTAGACCTGAGCAGAGCGAGGACAATGGACCAGGTATAGAAAACCACCAGGGCAGGAAAACCCCGATGCCCAGCAAAGGGCAAAACTGGGAAGCCAAGGACCTCAGCCCACGGTGACCTTTCTGTTAGGTCCGATCAAATAATGGAATCGATGCCCCTCCCCTGGGACTTGGCTTTCCAGGCCATTTCACTGTGGACAGTCCCTTTGCTGAGACCACATTTCACTTGCGGTGACCACATTCCATGATCTCTCCTCCGGGTCTGCACAGAGAAGTCTCCACCCAGAAAAAGGCGCCAAAAGTCCTTTAAAAGCTACCGACTCCTGTCACTGGGTGCTGGAGCCATCCAGGCTCAGACGCCTGGTGGGCGGATGATGGAATAAATTCGTGATCCCTCACCACCCTGGCCACGTGCGTTCCTCCTTTGGGGCCCTAACACTTTCCTCCTTTAGCATATCGCTGGCCATGCGGTTCAGACCCTTCCCTGACCTTTCCTCCCCGGGCCTGTGGCTGGTGGTCATGGGGTCTACAGAGAATAGCCCTTAAGCGTTAAGCGTTCAGGAGAAGGAGGTTCTGAACCCCGTCAAACTCATCGAGGCCTCGGTTGTGTTTCAGCTGCAGGCCCAGAACCAGCAGCACCACGGCTGACCTCAGGACCAGCTGCAGCGACCAGTGACCCCCTGCCCGGGACCCACCAATCAGTGGACACCATGACCCGAAAGGACACACTCTGATGAACCTGATGAACATTCTATTGGGATCCTCCCCCCACGCCAGACCTCCAGATAAACACCCTCAAGACGGGGACCCAGACCTAGCCGGCTTGGCTCAGTGGATAGAGCGTCAGCCTGCGGACTGAAGAGTCCCAGGTTCGATTCTGGCCAAGGGCACATGCCTGGGTTTCAGGCTCGATCCCCAGTGGGGGGCGTGCAGGAGGCAGCCGATCAATGATTCTCTCTCAGCATTGATGTTTCTATCTCTCTCTTTCCTTCTCCCTTCCTCTCTGAAATCAATAAAGAAATATATATATATATTTTTTTTTTAAAAGACGGGGACCCAGTGTGCTGGGGGGCACACCCAGGCCTTCCCCTCCCCCACTGCTCCCGCACCCACCCACCCACCGACCCACACACACAGGAACATTACCTTTATTCCTCTCTATCTTAAGCGCCAAGGGCCCCTTCTTTTGCCACTGTAGCTTGTTTTCTAAGACCCCCTACTTCTACGGATCACTTCTTCTAACTCTCTGGCTTTCTAAACAAACTTCCATTTATACTTTGAGTCTTGGCTCTGAATTCTTTCTTAGCCAGAACTCAAGAACTGAGGTTGCTGAACCAAGGTTCGGTCCGACCCCACCAGCCTAACACCTGCTGCCATTCTCAGTGCTGCCAACGCCAGGACCCAGGTGTGCTGCCCCTCGGTAACCCAGGACCCCACCATTCACAGTGCACAGAGAGGCTTGGCAAGATAGGGAGGGAGCCCAGCAGGTTCTGAGCTCGGCAGATGAATTCACCTTCCGGTTCCATTTGCATCCCAGGCGGCCCCAGGGTCTGAGGGCTTTTCCCTCCCTGCATGACACCTCCCACTCCCAGGACTCAGTCTCTCCTCTTCCTACCTTCTTGCAGAACCCGCTGTAGGTTCCGCTTGGGCAGGAGATGCAGGCCCTGTCCTAGCAATCACTCCTGTGCCCACGCAGCTCCCCTCCCCCAGCCCCACCCTCTCTCTGACCCACTCCTTCCTCCATGGCCTCTGCCCCCAGCAGGTCCTGACCTGGCAGCAGCAGGACAGCGGTGCTCCGGGTCCCGTGCACATTCCGGGCCTCGCAGCTGAGTCTGAGTCCCTCACTGAGCCCTGCTCGGAGGCTCAGGGAGCTGTTGGTCCAGGGCCCCTCTGAGCTGGAGGTGATCACGTGGGAGACGTTGCCATGGTTCCCCTCCAGCAGCCCCGCCCCCAGCCGCCAGCGCAGGGAGGGGGCCGGCTGGGCCCTGCAGGAGCAGCTGCAGTGCAGACCCTGGTCCTCCCAGGAGCAGGAGGGTCCCAGCAGCTGCGGGGGGTCTGTGGGGAGCGAGGAGAAGGGTCAGCGGTGCCTCTAATCTCCCCAGAACCCAGCTGTCCTGCCCCCCGGGGTCTCCCCACTCACAGACCACAGAGAGGCTGAGAGAGACGCTTTGGAAGCCCAGCAGGTGCCGAGCTTGGCAGGTGAACTCTCCTTCCTGTGCAGGCCCCACGCGAGGCAGCTCCAGGATCGCGGTGCTGGAGAGGGGGGTGGCGTGCAGGCCTGGGGACCCCCGGAACCAGCTCAGCTTGGCAGAGGGGTAGCTGTCAGCCTCACAGAGCAGCCTCAGGGCCTCTCCCTCCAGGATGGAAAGGGATGTGGTTTTCAGAATCTTGAGGGCTGAGAGAGAGAGAGAGAGAGAGAGAGAGAGAGAGAGAGAGATGGGATGGGCAAAGCTGGGGTCTCTCCTCCTTGCTATGTCCACACTAGCTCTGAGGAGAGGACCAACACCCCCTGGCCTCAGCCCTTCCGAAGGGGCCCAAAGTCGCCCAGGCTGCCTCACAGATGGAGGACAGGGGACATGGAATATGAAAAACAAATGCAGGCATGGACCAAAGAGGAGGTAACAGAAGCAGGAGGAGGTAAAACTTCAGAGAGGAGGGTGAAGCAAGAGGGACGCAAGCTTCCTTTTTATCTGGGCACAGAAAGCTGTGGGTGAGCAAGAGATTTAGAGAGTTGAGGTGTGGGGAGGAGCCTTCCGTCTGTCCTCAGTAGCTGGCCTCCCCTATATATCCCACGTTGTCCCCGGCCCATTGTAGCTCTGAAATCACCCATCCCAGCCCTGAGGGCAGAGGCCCCTTCCTACCTGTGCTGTTCCCTTGAAAGACGCGGATGGCCATGTTCTGTGGAGCATCTGGGACAGAAGGAAATCCATGGGTGGGCACTGGGCCTTTCCCCAGCAACCATGGAACCAGGAGAGGGGGTTCCCTTCCTGGTGGACTATCAGGACCCTGATTTTAAGCCCTGGCCCAGCTCTGTCCTGGCCACAACCCCTTAGGGACCCGGGATCCTGCCCCAGAACTCACAGGCCACATTGAGCCGGATGGTTCTCTCCACACTCACACCAGTGGCAGGAAAATACACCTGACAGGTGAGGTTGGTGCCGTGGTCCTGGGGCCGTGGGGTGAGAGTGAGCACGGAGGAGAGATGATGAGACCTGGGGTCCAGGGAGGTGTAAGCAGCTGATGTCCAGGAGAAGATGGGGGGCGTGCCCTCCTCACAGGCCCAGGGCACATAGCAGTTCAGTTTCTTGGGGCGGCCGGACTCCAGGGGCCCTGGGATGAGTATGTCAGGTTTGTCCGTCAGGGCTGGAGTGAAGAGAGAGGTGGTGAGACCCCTCGGCATGTCAGCCTGCCCCAGAGCTTTGTCATGGCTGTCCCCACCCCAACCCCAGGGTCCTTCATTTTTCCATTTCTGGTACCTGACACCTGGGGGTCTTCCTTTGGGCCCCTACCATACCTGTCACTTTCAGAGAGAGCATTTGGTCTTCATATGTATGTTCATAGAGTCCATATTATTTTCTATTTGAAAGAAGTAGGTCCCACTGTCCCTCGTGTTGACATCTCTGATGGTCAGGGAGCAGTCATCGGGCTCGGGGTCCACGGGGAGCAAGAACCGGCCCTGGGTCCTCTCCTGTAGCTTCTTTTCTGGATTGTTTGTGGCCACTAGAAGACCACGCTTTTTACTTCTTTCTATCTTGAACCAATGCTGGTACAGGTATTTAGAGGACACCCAGGGGTAGGAAAACTTGCATGGCATAGAGACACACAGACTCTCCTGCACTGTCACAGACTCCTGTAGTTCCAGCCAGTAGCTTGAATCCTTAGCCAGGGCTCCTAGGGAGAGAGAAAAACTCAGCCTGGAGCTCCAGGGCCTCCCCCGGGTGGGCTGCCTTCTCCCCTCGGCCCACTCACCTCCCCACAGCACGGGCAGCAGCAGCAACAGCAGCCTCAGCAACATCTCTTCCTCATGCCCTGGCACAGTCTGTCTACTCGGTCTGGGTCCCTCTGCGAGAGAGTGGAAAGATGCAGATGAGGGAGGGCAGAGAAAGCTTCGACAGGAAACCTGTGGTGAGAACCAAAGATCACAAGCCCAGAAGAGGGAACCTCAGATTCAGAGAGTCCGCTATGATTGACTCTTTGAGATCGTCCTGCCCCGTTTCTACCTGTGGCAAATGAACCCTGAGGCTCAGAGGAAGCGAGAGGCTTGTCCAAGTAAGATAGCAAGGGTGGACGAGAGCCCCCGTGTCCTGGGTCCATGGGCCATCATCTGTACTGGAGAAGCTGGTCTCACCTGGCCAGCTCTCTGACCGTCATGGCCTTGGGACTCTCATGGAGGTGGCCCACTAGGGATGGGTCTTGGGATAGCCTATATGGGCACCAGTGGCAGAACAGGGTCTAGAGGAGGCAACAAAAACACCACACACCACCACTCATTTCCTTCATTCATGCCTTTGCAAACTCACAAAAATGATTAAATCAGTCCTGACCTTCAACTAGTTCAAGCAGTGAGGGAAGACAGACCAGCTGATGGGCTAGAGCTTTATCTGAAGGCAATGGGGAAACTGGAAGATTCTTAAGCAAGAAAGGATCAGGGTCATATAGGTATCAACATGGTCTCTCTGAGGCCAGGATAGGGAAAGAGGTGGAAGGGAATGGAGGGAGGTCAAGAGGCCAGAGATCAACACTATTATGGTTGTTTAAGAAGGTGAGAACCAAATCTGCATGTTGTGGAGGAAAGATTTGAGGTGGAAGACACTTTGAGGAAGTGAAATTTGAGGGGAGGTGTGATGGGTGGGGGAGGGAGGCACCTAGAGTGACTCCCAGAGCCCTGACAAAAGTAACAGAGGGCATGGGGGTACCATCTCCAAGAGCACAGTAAATGGGCAGAGCTGGACTGGGAAGACAGTAGAGTTGGCCCATGGGGTTCTTTCCTGGGGACCCTTCGCTACTTGTCACATTCAGAGACAATGTCATATATTGGGAGTCATGGTTCATGTAATCTCTTTCTATCCTGAAGTATTCCCAGTTCCCCACATCTTGGAAAATCTGATGCTCAGAGCACAACTATGGGCCCTTCGGTCCCCCAGTTGGTGGAATTGGCCCCAGGTTCTCTCATCAGGTTTTTATAGGGCCTGTGGCCAGAGAGGGGATGATGGTGTCCGTTGGCTACCTCCAAGATATGAAGGTGGTTGTGGAGTGGGCTAACGTTAGCCCAGGAAACCCACGGGTTAGACTGGAGAATGGGACAGGAGGCAGAGGCAGGCTCCCCTTTGCTGTGTCACTGACTGAAGGTCACACACTGTTCCTGCAATATCCTCCAGGGACCAGTCTCTGACTGAAGCCCCGCCCGGAAACCTCTTGTTCAGACCTCAGTAGCCCTCACAGCTGTGGCCACTGCAGCATCGAAATAGGGCTGCAAATAAATAGTTCACATTTCCTTGACACCATCTGACTCTCAGCCTGGAGGTGGGGGCAACTGCTGGGTGGTAAAAGACCTGGAGACTCTTTCTGGATGGAAATGTAGGATTTCTGCCCCAAACTTCTCCCTTCAACAGAAATTCCCCTCTCTCCCTTGGGCCTTTGCAGGGGAAGCGAAAGCTGAGCTCTTCTCCCCCCTGGACCACAACAGGGTGGACCCTTCCCTCTTCTTGTACCCGGAAACCCTGCCTCTTGCCTCCTGAAGACCAACACCTACTTCCCTCAAGACAGATGTGGAATTTGAGGGTCAATTTCCTCCAGACAGCTTTCTTGGAGCCCTACTCGTGAGGACAGAAGAGTGAGATTCCAAGACTCTTCTGGCACCAAATCCTTCCTGTGCAGAAACCTTCCCAGGGCTGGAGTACCCCCGATGCCCCAGGAAGCATTGGGTGAACACTTTTTAAAAAATATTTTTTAATTTATTTCAGAGAGGAAGGGAGAGAGAGATAGAAACATCAATGATGAGAGAGAATCATTGATGGCTGTCTCCTACATGCCCCACACGAGGGATTGAGCCTGTAACTGGGGTGAGGAGCAGAGGTACATTCTACTACATGCTCTTTTGAACCCTTTGAATATATAAGACCATGCAAATAAAATTCCAGGGGAAAATAAAGTGAAAGGATTGTCAACTAAAGAAGTGAGGCTGGGTGAAGAGATAGAATCAAGAGGGGTCTTCAAAGGCAACATCTGATTTTTGAATGTGGCCCTTGGGGAGGGAGCTGAGAAGTTTAAGAAGAAGTCAGCTGCCAAAACAAAAGATCCCTCCAAGTGGCCCATAGAAGTGAGGATGCAAAGTCTCCATAAGATTTGACAAGAAGAAAGTCTTTGTTATGGTAGTGAGAGTAGGGCCTGATAAGCGGGGACAGAGGATCTAGGGTGCTTCTAATATCTATACTCTGCATTTCTGAAGAGACAATGAAACATGTTTCAAATGAAAGAACAGAACA